GCTATGGTGAGCGCTGTGAATTGTGCAAGACTGTTGAATCACAGATCTGTACCTCTGAAACAAATAATACAATATATGTTAAATAAAAAAAAGATAGCAGGAGGGGAAGAATGAAGGGGCAGAATCGGAGGGGGAGACGAACCATGAGAGACGATGGACTCTGAGAAACAAACTGAGGGATCTAGAGGGGAGGGGGGTGGGGGGATGGGTTAGCCCGGTGATGGGTATTAAAGAGAGCACATATTGAATGGAGCACTGGGTGTTATAAGCAAACAATGAATCATGGAACACTACATCAAAAACTAATGATGTAATGTATGGTGATTAACATAATGATAAAAAATTTAGAAAAAAAGGATTGCAAAAAAAAAAGGAATGAAGCACTGATACATACTACAACATGGATGAACCTTGTGTTCATTATGTCAAGTAAAAGAAGCCAGTCACAAAACGTCACAAATTTTATGATGATATGAAATGTCCAGACAGGTCAATCCATAGAGGCAGAAAGTAAATTAATGGTTGCTAGGGCCGGAGGAATGACTAATAGGTATGTTTCTTTCTGGGGTAATGAAAATGTTCTACATTTAGATAGTGGCATAGGTTGTACAACTTTGTGAAAACACCAAAAAAATCACTGATTAAATACTTCAAAACATGAATTTTATGGTATATGAATTATAATTCAATAAAACTGTTATAATTCATAAAAAAGGAAGCAGCATCATAAGTATATTTTTAACTTTAAACTTACATTTTCTGTGAGGCTCATGTTTTCTTTGCTGACATTTAATACTGTTGTCAGTAAAGCCAGATTTATGATGTTGAGTTACTTGACTTACTTCTTGAGGTAGAACTGCAACCTGAAAGTTAAAATTCTTATAAATGATTTAAAAACAAACTCTTATAACTACTTTTCCTCAAAGAGATAGAGTATTTGGTTGTAGAACTAAATAATAGGAGAGCTGACACTTGAGCTCTAACGCTAAAACCCATGTTCACAGAACCGTATCAGAGAAAAAGTATGCCAGAAGTTTAATTAGAAAATATTCTAGTTTTGGGTATAGTTTTTGGGTTGTTCTATTTGATATCTACATAAAGCTATTTATTACTCACACTGTGATACTGTCAATAAAGACTTAAATTAAAAAAAAGAAGATTTTTTAAAGAGCAGTTTTAGGTTTACAACAAAACTGAGAGAAAGGTACAGAGATATTTCATATTCTTTCCGTCTCCACACATGTATAGCCTTCTCCATTATCAACATCCTCCACCAGGGTGGTACATTTACTATAACCAATGAACCAATCCTGACACCTCATTATTACTCCAAGGCCATAGTTTACATTGGGTTCACTCTTGGTGTTGTACATTCTATGTGTTCAGACAAATGTATAATGACATGTATCCACCATTAGAATATCATACAGATTATTTTCAGTGCCCTAAAAAGCTTCTGTGCTCTGCCTACTGATCTTCCCCATAACCCCCGCGCAACCACTGATCTTTTTACTGTCTCCATAGTTTTACCTTCTCCAGAAGCTTGAATACTTTTTAAAAAGTCATGTTGAGTTGTCTAGAATGTGCTTATCAGATGAATATTAGTTAATTATGAAAAACAGTCATTCCAGATGAATATCAATTAATGCTTCATGGATTTAAGTGATATATGTGGTGGCTCATAATTCTTGGTATGTATAGGAGGAAATACAACATGACAGTGTTTAGCTAATATAAATAATGAAATAGCACCCAATACCAGGAGCAACATGTAGAAGATTCTGAGGAAATACATTGTTAAGTGTTGAGTTCCATCTCAAGGCAATAGGCAGTAAAATGACTAGCAGACCTTGCTGGAGATCTAGGGGAATTTTGGTAGTGAGAGAGGAAAGTGGAACAGTAAAAACACATAACCTGAAATGGGAATTATCTACTTGTGGGAAAGGGAAAATAAAGAGACCAATCTTACTAGAACAGACCATTTTACCAAAGAGTTGGATATACTTTGCATAAGAATTAGGTAGCGTTAGATACTAGTTTCAGTTGAGGTTGAATTCCACTATTACTGAACAAAGAGCCCTATACATTCTATAATATTTGAATAACATTCTTCGGGGCACCTGGGTGGCTCAGTTGGTTAAGCGCCTGCCTTTGGCTCAGGTCATGATCCCAGAGTGCCGGGATCAAGCCTCACATCGGGCTTCCTGCTCAGGGGGAGTCTGCTTTTCCCTCTGCCCCTCACCCCACTCTCGTGCTCCTTCTCTCTAATAAACAGCTAAATCTGTAAAAGAATGTTATTCTTTTTTTTTTTTTTTAAGATTTTATTTATTTATTTGACAGAGAGAGACACAGCAAGAGAGGGAACACAAGCAGAGGGAGTGGGAGAGGGAGAAGCAGGCTTCCCGCAGAGCAGGGAGCCCTATGCGGGGCTCGATCCCAGAACCCTGGGATCATGACCTGAGCCGAAGGCAGACGCTTAACGACTGAGTCACCCAGGCGCCCCAAGAATAACATTCTTTAGGGCTGGAAAAGAGGTCATCCAAGTCTAGTGCCTTAATTTTGCATATGAGGCCACAGAGGCCCAAGGAAATTAGAGTTGCTCAATTTGAATCACCAAATCTGATTTCCTGATTCTGAGTCCAGTACAAGATTTATCACACCACAGTGCCTCAGGGAACAAACTAAGTTCAAATCCAGAAGCTCTTATTAATTAGATATTTTGCCCAATTATGCCACTGGGCTAACACAGGTGAAAGGATCACCAAGAAAGATCATTAGGAAAGACATATCAAACAGTACTATGTAAGAAGGACTAAAAAGGAAAGAGGCAAGAAGCAGGAAGCACAGATAGGAGGTTAATCTAGGTTTAGGATGACCATCTAAGACCCAGTTGTGGGAACTGGCAAGAAATAAAAAGATTTTGAACCTCATTGCAAAAAAAAAAAAAAAAAAAATAGAAGGGAAAAACGAAGAAGGTTTTACTCCATGCTTTTCAGATTATGTGCCTGGGGAAATGGTAGTGTTAGAAATAAGGGTAAGAAGCTTCAGATGAAGTGAATTCTAAGACATCTTACAGCTGAGATGATAGTGGGGTGTCTGTCTATACCTGTCTTCTAGGAAGTTGGAGATACTGGCTTAGATTGATCCTGATTGAGAAGTATGGATCACATAGACTGAGTGGTTAAATTAGCAGCAAGGTAAGAGCCAATGTCACCAAATGATAAAAAGGGGGAGAAAAAAAACTATTGTTCAGTGAAATAGTGCCCAGTTGAATGGCTGGAAAAACAGAGGTTAAGAAAGAAGTTGAATAAAAAGCAAAAGGCAAGAGGGGAGTCAGGGTAATGTTTCCTTTTAGAGTATAAATCCTTGAAATAATTGCCTATATTTGCTACCTCCAATTTTTCTTCTCCCCTTCTCTCTTAAACACACTCCTCTTGGTATTTCACTCTTACCACTCTACTGAAACTGCTCTTGTCAAGATTTCCAATGACCTCAGATACAAAACTCTATGGTCAATTCTCAGTTTTCATTTTAACTGATCCATCACCAGCATTTGACACAGGATTACTCTTCTTTGACATCCATTCTTCACTTGGCATCTAGAACAAACACCACACTTCACTGGTCTTCTTCCTGTACAATGGCCATTCCTTCTCAATCTTGTTTGTCAGGTTCACCTAATCTCTCTGACTCTTTAAGGATGGAATTCTCTAAGTTATTAGACTTCTCTGGATGTAGATAAATAGATATAGATACACACATACATGCCCAAATGTCTCTCTCCAGCTTGGACATCCTCCATAACCATCAGAATCAATGTCCAACTCTATATCTCTACTCAAATATCTTTTTTTTAAAAAAAGATTTTCTTTATTTGAGAGAGTAAGTGAGCAAGAGAGCATGACCAAGGGGAGAAGCAGAGGGAGAGGGAGAAGAAGACTCCCCATTGAGCAGGGAGCCTGACGTGGGGCTCAATCCCTGGACTTCGGGATCATGACCTGAGCCGCAGGCTGACACTTAACCAACTGAGCCATCCAGGCACCCCTCTACTCAAATTTCTAACTCTGTATCTCCACTTAGATGTTTAATATACATCTCAAACTTACTATGACCGAAATTGAACTCCAGATCTTCTTCCACAAACCTACTTGACTTGTAATCTTCTCCATCTTAGGTAACAGCCACTCTATCCTTTTAGTTACTAAGACCTTAAGAGTTATACTCTTTAATCCACTTTTTTCTCTCTTAACCCTATATCCAATTCATCATTAGACAGCAATTCCTTCCAAATATGCCTAGAATTTGATCACTTCTCCAGGCTCCTACTACTCTGGTCCAAGTCAGTATCAACTTTATCTTTTTTTTTTTTTTTAAAGATTTTATTTATTTATTTGAGAGAGAGAGAATGAGAGATAGAGAGCACGAGAGGTAAGAGGGTCAGAGGGAGAAGCAGACTCCCTGCTGAGCAGGGAGCCCTATGCGGGACTCGATCCCGGGACTCCAGGATCATGACCTGAGCCGAAGGCAGTCGCTTAACCAACTGAGCCACCCAGGCGCCCTCAACTCTATCTTGATGATTCCAGTAGTCTCCTAACTAATCTGTTTCTATCCTGGCTCCTCTACATTCTATTCTTAAGATAGCAGATAGAATGATCCTATTAAAATATAAATCAGATCATGTCATTCTGTTGCTCAAAACCCTTCACTGATTCCTCATTTCACTGAGTAAAAAACAATGTCCTTATAATGACCCAGAAGGTCCTGCATGGTATCTAATTACAGTTCCTACAACTCAGCCTAATTGACTAAAAGCCATCATTATGGCTCTTTTTTCTCTTCCTTGAGTACACCTGGAATTGTCTTCCCAACAGGGTCTTTGAACTTCTCTGGAATACCCTCACCTCAGATATCTACATACTCTACTCCTCATTTCATTCAAATCTTTACTCAAATGTTACCTGATCATTCTATTTAAAACTGCAAAACCTTGCCTCCCCCCCACCCCCCGCCAACATTCTCTGTCCTCCTCCAAAATTTTTCTCAAACTTTTGTATTACCATCTAATATACCATGTAATTTACTTGTCCTCTCCTCCCCAGAATATAATTTGTTTGAGGGTCAGAATTCTTTTTTTGTTTATAGCTATGTTCTCATCACACAGAACAATGAACATGATAGGCCCTCAATAAATACATGCTGAATGAATTAATGAAATGAATGAATTAGATAACGAAGCATTCCTAAAAAATGAATGGTTAGTGGTATCAAATAAATTAGAGAGGAAAAGAGGGTTTGAAACTCTGGATATAGACTGCATTTAGATAGAAAGGATTTATGGATGATCTAAGCAAAACTTAGCATATTAGCAGAAGAGAACTGTATTTTGTCACTCTCGCTTTTTATGTTTATTTTACCATCATTTCCTTTGCTATTTTCTTCTCTCTACTCTGAAAATGCCACCATCACTGGAGGACATTAGAATAAATTTGGCTTTCAGGGTGCAGGCTATTGGTTTATAAACTTGAGAGAATATTCTTTCTTAACCAAAACTGAGAAGACAGGTCAGTTACTAGCAAAAAGTGTTGTAGGAATTTATTCTTTACCTTTTTCCTTTTTTTGCTCTGAGTCTACTTTTTTAGCAGAATTTCTTTTCCCTTCTTAATCTCTATTAAGGAATGTGAATTTGCTCATTCATATTTAAGACAACTAGGTGCTGACATAAAGCTCCACATTCAAGTGGAAATTAATTAGTTAATAATAAGTGCATTAAGGCCTTTGTTGAATTTAAAATATAGTTATTATGATTTTGCAAACAGCTAAAATAAAATCCAAACTGATTTAAAAGAAAATTATCTATATTCCCTCTCATGAGTCCAAAAACTTTTATATACGGCTGAAGAGACTTATGAAAATTCATGATTCAAACTGTTATTCTAGGGCGCCTGGGTGGCTCAGATGGTTAAGCGTCTGCCTTTGGCTCAGGTCATGATCCCAGGGTCCTGGGATCGAGTTCCGCATCAGGCTCCCTGCTCCTTGGGAGCCTGCTTCTCCCTCTGCCTCTCTCTCTCTCTCATGAATAAATAAATAAAATCTTAAAAAAAAAAACTGTTATTCTATGAGATTTTAGGAAAAAAATAATCATTGCATACTCACAAGAAAAATGTAAATTTTGTTTTTTTTAATTTAAATGTCTATCAAACAAGGTACACTAACCTTCTCTTGTAGAGTTGGCTGAAAGTGTTGAACCTTTCCAGATCCCTGTAAGGACTGCCAAATGTTGCAAAATTCATCATCATCTTTAGTAGGTACCTGGCAAAGCACAAAAAATTTCTTAAGGAACTGAAACATGAAAAAAATAAAGATTTATATTAAAAATAAAAAAATTCATTAAAGTTATTTAGCAGTAGATAGAATATTAACTTCTATTATCTGAAATCTCAGTTCTTTTTTTCTGGAGCTCAGTATAGTCATCATAGAAATATTCTATTGGACTGAAAATGGTCTTAAAGCAAGACAAATGTTATGGAAGATTATACTAAATCAGTATCCCTAACAACAGATTTTTTTTTTAGTCTCCCAATGTACTGATATCTCATTCAAGCTAACATTTAACAATTTTATTTTTAAAATCTTCATCTTACACAAAAGTAATCCAACAGATTAAAAAACCAGCTATTACTTATGAGGAGTTGATTTTGGGCAGATTAATAGTGATTACCTATGAAATTTGATTTTTGCTTCTGCTTCCTTTGCTATTACCTCCTTATCTGGGCTTTCTAATTAGTCTATAATGAACACATTATTACTTGGATTAAAATGTGGTTAAGATTTGGGGACATGGAGTTAAACAAGGTTAAATGTCTCGCACAAAACAATTCATTTTTTGTCCCAGAAAGATAAAATAGAGGAAATCACCCATGAGTTGCATGGGTAGGAACCTGAAAATGGCTTTTGATAAATATAATCCTCTCTCTGTTAACCTTTCAAATTCATGTCATTTCATAGCAGATAGAATACAACATTTGAGTTATACAAATGTAGCTTGAAAAGTAAATATATGAAAACAGACATTCTCAAGCTCATATTTAAAAATTATTTCTTCTTTATAATTTTATAACAGATGTAGGATGTTATCAGTAGCATTTTTTTAAAAATTCCATTTATTTGAGAGAGAGCAGGAGCAGGAGGGAGAGGGAGAGGGGGAAAAGCAGACTCCCCACTGAGCAGGGATCCTGACGTGGGGCTCCATCCCAGGACCCTGAGATCATGACCTGAGCCAAAGGCAGATGCTTAACCAACTGAGCCACCCAGATGCCCCAGTAGCATTCCTTACTAGCTTATTAATTTAAAACAAATCTGAAATTGACTTGAACCAAAATTTTTTTAAAAAACTAAGTCAAATTAGGTTTTACTTACAAAGTCTGCTTGAGATTTGTAAGAGGGCGGAAAGAAATGAAAGACTAAGAGCCTTACTTGAGTAGGAACAAAAAGTGATTGAGGGGAATGGTTCAGGCCTCCCAAATGCCCAGATGAAATTGATGAATTTGAGTTATAGTGATTCACAGCTGGTTGTGGTTTCACAATGGCTGTCAACTTCTGATTTCCGGTTTCAGAGCGACTCCCATGAGTAAGATTCACCAAGGCACTTGTTGGCAGTCGATAACCTCTACCAGGAGAGCACCTAAAAATAAACAGTAATTTCAGAGGGAAATAATACTAAATGTGCTAGGAGCAGAAGAACCAAATTATTTTTGGGTGGACAGTCAGTCCATAATCTGAATTAGTAAACATTACTTTTAAATTTAGTAGAGGAACCTGAAATCATAGAAAGATCTCCACTTATAAGATGATATATTTCTGAAACTGGACTTTATTTGATCCTCACAATAACCTAGTGAAGTATGTATCTTCATTACAAACAAGGAAACTGAGGGTCAGAATGCTTTTAACGACCTACCCAAAGTAGCACAAAGGTTAAGTGACAGAACCCATTCCATGCAACTTTTGTTCTATCATACTCCTTTTTTCCTGTAACTTTAACTTTTTTATCAGTGCTGCCCCAAAATAAGTATATCTCATATGAAAGTTAAAAACAAAAAATCCAAACCTCTGGCTTTAAACCTGCTAACCTCCAGTTACCTTTTCTCTCCTTCATGGTCAAACTTCTCAAGGGTCAGCTCAATTTCCTGCTTCCTCAAAACACCCCAGTGTGGCTATACACCCACAATTCCACTAAAATATAAAATCTGCGATCATGCATCTCTGATTTTGATGACTTCACATTGCTTTAAGGATAAAGACCAAGATACCAAAATCATTAGCATGTCCTCAAAGTTGGCTTACAAGCTGCTGCACAGTGTGTTCCTTGCTTTTCTCTCTTACTCTAATCTTACATAGTTGCTGAAGTTCAGACACACTTGCATTCTTTTTTTTTTAATGAATAAATCCTTTGTTGCCTCTTCTTGACCACCTGTCATTCTTCTTCCCTCTTCCTCCAGTTAACTATTACTCAGTCTTCAAGTCCCATCTTAAATATCACTTGTCAAAGAAGCCTTTCTAGAAGTCATACTCATACAGAAACTGGGACCTCTCCTTTCCAGCACTTCTCACATTTTAATTAAATAATACTATAATCAGTTACACAATTATCTCTCCCACTAAAATGAAAGCTTTGTGAGACTAGAAAGCATGTCTATCTTACTCATTGTTACATCCCTATTAGCATGTATGATGTCTTGCATATAACAGGAATTCAAATTGTGGACAAATAAACAAGTAATGTAAAGTCACTGCCACGTGGACATATTTACAAAGTGTAATTATCATCAGGAAATACAAACCTTATTGTTAAGCCTCCAGGAAATTCTTCATCAAATAACACTTCAAATAGTACATCAGCTTCTCTATTAGCTGTTAAATAAGAGAGATTTAAAAATCATATGATGAAAAATCAGCATTTAAGTTTTTGGCTTGTAAGAGGCATTACAACTATCAGAGAATGGTATAGGGGAATACAGTAAATGTAAAGTAGATAAATTTGCAGATTACCTTACTGGTATTAAAGTAAAATAATATTTTAAATTAGATGCTGTGAGGGGATTAATTATATTTTTCTCTGTGCTTTTGTCTATGTTGGAAATTATTCATAATAAAAGTTAATAAAAGAGGTCACTTCGGAGTTCGCAGTTCAGAAAGTATTGCAGTAAGACAGATAAAAGACAATGACGATTTGAAAGCATGGCAGTTTATTTAATAAAGGGAATAGAATGGAGAGAACAGAAATATCATTAGATAGAACTGGCAGGAATTTGTGACCTGTGTAGATAAAAAGGACAGAGATGCCAAAGATGACTCCAAGGTTCTGGCTGAGATGACTTGGTAGATTATGGATGCCATAACTGAGATATGAGACACATGAGAAAGTGCAATAAACTTACATAGGAACAGAGAAGAACAAATTTGGCAGAGAGCCTGATGAGATATATCTGGCAAGATTAAATTTACCCGAAATGCCAAGGTAAAGTGAAATAATTAGCTTTATTTGAATTCTAAGCCCAAATTAATAATAGAGTCTATCACATTACTTCAGAATTGACCAACCCTACCCCCTTCCCTCTCCCCTCTTCTCCCTCCCTTCCTCCCTTCACCACTCCCCCTCCCCCTGTCCTCGATTCCTCTCCACCTTTCCCCCACCCCTTTTCTACTTTATTGGTTCTGTTTCTCTAGAGAACCCTAATACAATATTTGATAATATCCTAGCCAGGGGTAGGAGTGGAGGGATGTCTGTCCCCCATCCCCAGTCCTTCATTGCCCAGCTGAAATCAGGCCTGCAGAGCTCATCCATTCCCCAACATCCACCTGTATCTTTCAACGTACTTTTACCTGAAATCTGAACTCAAGAAAGTAAGGCTCAATGAGAGGCAGGAGTTTCTCCTCTGAAGGCTTAAAGCTCACCTTTTAGGTTCTTATTCCCTGAGGGAAGGGTATTCCTCAAAAGATTATTAAGATTATAAAAGGTAAGAGGACTGTTTATTCCCTTTAGAGAAATTGACTATGGAGATGAGGTCTCAGCTAAGGGCAGTAATGAAATATTCCCCTTTTTATCCATGGCAGACATGGTTAATCAATGACAGAGCTCTTTCCTACTCAGCATAGATACAGCTTTAAAATCCTTCTCAAGACAAATCCCAAGCAGTGACTATTACTGATAGGAACTGTCAGAAGAAAGGAAACTTCGATGTTACCAGAGTCCTAAGGCCTTGTATCTAGACAACTTAACTAGAATACAATCTAATAAGCCCAGTATTTGAACAGCTGAATCGGGGGTTGAGCAGGAGGGTTGTTTCATTATTACCCATCTGGCCCTTACCATTCCTAGTCCAGACAATCAGACCAAGGTTGAGTGCTTGAGAGAGGAAAGGACAGTGCTGCCAATACCTTGACCCCTTGGCACCGGATTTGCTGCTTCATGCTAGGCTGACTTTTTTTGGTATCTACACTGCAAAGTTCCTCACACCAGGCATTCCTTTGAGCACATTTAGATCCTTAGTTGCTTCTTCCCTTTTCCCTCCATTCTCTCTCTTTTTTTTAAATAAAAAATACATGACATAAAATTTACCATCTTAATTATTTTTAAGTGTACAGTACAACAGTGTTAACTATATGTACATTGTTGCCTTCTGCTTAGATATAAGGCACAGAAATTTGTGTTTTACTTTACAATTTTAGATGCAGTTGAAGACATGCCAAGTATTGAGATATTACCCCCTTTAATTCCTATGATGGTGCCCCGAAGGCCAACTGGAACTGAAAAGTTCTCTCTCACATTTACCACACGGTCAAAGAGACGAAATTCTGCATCTCGATCAGGAATGACTCCATGTTGCTGTTCTAAAGGCTAAAGAGAAGAAAGCTTTAATTATTATTAACTCTAATTTGAAATAATTTTTCTATTACTATAACAAAAACATTTTGTTCCTTCTATACTTTCAAAATAAAAACAACTTGGATAAGAAACTTACTCTGTACAGCAAATGGGGCTTCACTGTCACTCGTACCTTCTTATTATTCTTTCTTTGCTGAAGAAAGAAAAATTTTTAAATATTTAAAAACATAATTATAAAATTATTGTTACCTGGATTTACATTAAAATATAAAATTATTATTCAGTTAGACATCATTCATTACCATTCATTTTTTTTTAAGATTTTATTTATTTATTTGAGAGAGAGAGAGAATGAAAGAGAGCGAGCATGAGAGGGAAGAGGGTCAGAGGGAGAAGCAGACTCCCTGCTGGGCAGGGAGCCCGATGTGGGACTCGATCCCAGGACTCCGAGATCATGACCTGAGCCGAAGGCAGTTGCTTAACCATCTGAGCCACCCAGGCGCCCCCATTACCATTCATTTTTAAAAGCCAAATGAAATGAGCAATTTAAAGAATATCTGAAGTTCTTCAGATGCAGCAGGGAGGAATAATAAGTTCTTACTTAAAAAAATATTTGGGAGGCACCTGGGAGGCTCAGTCGTTAAGTGTCTGCCTTTGGCTCAGGTCATGATCCCAGGGTTCTGGGATTGAGAAGGCTGCAATAGCAGGGAGCCTGCTTCTCCCTCTCCCTCTGCCTATGGCTCCCCCTGCTTGTGCTCTCTCTCTCTCTCTCTGTGTCAAGAAAATAAACAAATAAAAACCTAAAAATAAGTAAATAAATACATAAAACCTATTTTCCTTAAAAAAATTTTAAAGATTTTATTTATTTATTTGAGAGAGAGAGAGTGCACAAGCAGTGGGAGAGGCAGAGGGAAAGGAAGAAGACTCCCTGCTGAGTGGGCAGCCTGACCCAGGGCTTGATCCCAAGACTCCAAGATCATGACCTGAGCCGAAGGCAGATGCTTAAGCAACTGAGCCACCCAGGTGCCCCTTAAAATTTTTTTAAAGTTAAATTTTTTGTTGAAGTATAAAGCATAGAAAAATGCAAAATTGTATGTATACAGCCTGATGAATTTTTGTAGTATGAGCTTATCTATGTATAACCATGCTGAGTTCAAGAAAGAGAACATTACTAAGTACAACATAAGAACTCCTGTATTCCTTCCCAGTTACTACCTTCCCCAAAGTAACCTTACTGCTAACAAAAGATTAAATTGTTTAGAACTTTATGTAAATGTTATCCTATTCAAATGCCTTTTTACTCTTAAAAGAATTGTACATGATGGTCAATGAAAAACTATATTAGAAGAAAAAAAAGTATAAAGTACTTATCTATGACAATACTGTGGGTTTTATGGCTACTTATAAAAATTAAGGTGGCACTGATTTAACAAAGCCCTTGCTTTTGGAAGCTCTTACGAAATTGGCTTTGATGTCTGAATTTTTTGATCATCTAACAAATGCTGGAAGAAGAGTTCTGTCCCATCTTTACTCCTTGTCAATTTTGTGAACTCACACTCACCTTACGCATCAGCCTCCTTCTACTGTAAAATAGAAATAACATTACTTGTTCTACCTAATCAAACCATGAGAATAGTTTATATCCATTGTAATCCATAACTACCATTCACATTAAATATTTTTAAGTGAATTCTTACCAACTAAGACAAACGGCAACAGTTTACTTATTTTGCAGCCACCTATCTTTAGACCATACCTTATGGAAAGAAGTACAGAAGAGAATAAAACAACTCCAAGCTATAGAGGCCGTACACTACAGAGTTCGTGTATTTATATTGGAAAATGCTCAAGCCTTTAAACAGACCCTATTAGCTTTTACTATAAAGGCATTTCATTTATTCTTTCAACAAATCTTTACTGAGTTACATTTATGTGCCATGTATTAATTTAGGTGCTAAGGATAAAACAGTATCCTGTTCCTTTACTTAGGGACACATACAAGCAACAAATGTTTGAAGGTAAAAAGCAGAGAGGAAAATAAAGCAGGGAAGGGGGATCAGCACTGTGGAGAGAGAGATTGCAATTTTAAATAGAATGAATAGTGAAGGCAGTACTGACAGGATGTCTATGCTTTCAGCCCACAGCAGACTAGGACCAATAGGGTACAACTGGTGCCCCCTGACAACAGCAAGAAGAAGAAAAAGTATTTTAAGTAATTTTAAAAGGCAGACCCCAAATTTATGCCTGGAGTTCTGTATATGAAAAAAAAAAACAACAACCCATATGCTTTAATATATCTCTAGGAATTACTACATTATAGCACCGATTAGAGGACATGGCAATCGAACCTGATTCATTAAGCAAATTAATAAACTGAGGAATTTTCACAATAGGCTCCAACCCACAGTTACAAAATGAAAAGTTCTAGGTCTGGCTATTCAAAATGTGATCATCTGGGAGCTTGTTAGAAATGGAGACTATCAAACATCAAAATAAAATTTGGAGGCTTAGAGTAATAAACTTTTATTAAGTGGAAAACTCATTTCAAAAACAATGCTGTACAAATGGATTTTACTCTAGGTTGAAAGACAAAAAGAAATGCCAGTTAAAAAAAAAATGAAATGCAGGTTTCTATCCTTATCTGAGTATCAATGACCTTTCAAAAAATCAAACTCTTGGCTCTAAGCCGTATATTTTTTCCTAAAGAGAAAAAGAGTCATCCAGTAGTAATTTTCCAGACTGTCTTCATAGCTCTTGAATATGTGATAAGAGAATTCAAATGATAATAGCCATGTTAGGCATTAAAAACAGGCATTATTAGAAGAAGTTTACATGCTTTAACTTAGTTAATCCTTTTGATGACCCTATGAAGTAGTACTGTTTTATTCTCATTTTACCAGTGAGGAAATAGAGGCAATGGAAAGTAAGTATCTTAAGTATCTTGCCTAAGGTTAAAAGTATTGAAAGAGAAATGGGGGAAAATGGCTTCAGAGCCCACTTCTTAACTTAGTTTGCTATTAGACTCCTGTGTTAGCAAAGCAACATCATTTTAATAAAAAGGCAAATGTGTGGAAAACAAAATCAAAAGTTATAAAGGGAATATAATCAATCCATTTTCCATTATATCAAGATAGAGGATCAAAATAAGTAAAATAGTTGTCTACACAGAAGATTATTGCTTTTTAAAATCAAGACATAAAAAAATAGGAAAGATTAAATAGGATTTAAAAAATATTGAATGTGTTTGTGGATGGGAAAGTACACTTTAGAAGTGATTCTGTAAAAGTGAACTAAACACAATGTTTATGTTCTATAAAAAAGAACTATGTCTTTAAAGAACTTAGAATAGGAAGAAGAGGGGATTAAGATTATCTCTTAATCACAAACTTTGTATTTTGGCCAGAATTACAGAATATTAATTCCTAAAATTAGAAACACCATTAGGACATAAAATTTAAATGTTATAGCTTTTATATATTAAAGTACATTTCTTTTTATTCAGATAAACTTATTAATGGCCACTGGAAATGGCTGGAACATTTTTTTAAACTAAAGGATTACCTGACATAAATTAAAATCACTGAGTTCATGTTTTATTTGGTTGAAACAAAATTAAATTATTTGTAGGATGATATATAGTCCATTTAACTTCAAATCTCACCAAACATCTTGGGTTATCGAAAATTAGTACCTTGCACTTTTCGACTTCTTCCTCAATTTTCTCAACAATAGCTGCATCCAGAATTTGTAAATCACAAGAAGAACGAGACAAAGTACTGACAGGATGTCCCTTTAGCCAAGTAATAATTTCTTGAACTTTCTCGGCACTACATTAAAAACAATTTTTTCACAATGATTAAAACTTTGAGGTTTTATACAAAAGGCCTAATATAAATTTCCTGAAGGCTGTGAATTATAAAAGACATAAAATACATAATTAATAATTAATCACTAAACTTAATTGGGGCTAGTTATAAATCTAATGTGAACATGGACATATTACTTCTCAGTAACTTAAAAAAACCCACAAAATTAGTTTAATAAAAGTACTTTACTGATATAAGTGAAATAAGTTATCTGAAGATCTTAAAGTAAATATATATATGAAATTATATATATATATATATGTATATATATATATGAAACCCTCCTCACAAAAGTAATATAAATTCTTGATAAGCTAGCTACTGTACCTTTCACTGGAACACTAAGCTGAACTATGAGCCAATAAATGCCACAAATTTTGCTTACCCGTTCTCATTTTCTCCAGGCCAAATGTCATCTTCATAGAATACATCCTCTTGGCTATTTTTGGCTATATAACTAAATAGTTCTGGAGCTCTAGCCAAACAAACAAAAATACTGCTTAGAAAATATATATGGCTAACTTCACATAAACTTCCCTATCAAATAATTCTGGATCCCAAGGGGACATATAAAACATATTGAGGACTGATTGTAACACACAGAGTATTAATAAGGGATAGAGACTAAATGATTTGAAAGTATTCACAGGCCCTCAAAAAACTTTCAGTAGCTGAAGGAGAAATGATTCAATTCATAAACTGTAATAAACTTTAATTACTTATTCAATTACTGACTCTAATCGCCCTCAGATCATAATGATGGGTGATAAATGGACAAAACTAATATCTACATGTTCATTTTCTAATTTTCACAACGAAGCTGGAGTACCCCACAATAAAGAAAATTAAAATACATTAGAAGTTTCTTTTGATATTCCTCAAAACTCCCTTGCTTCCTGAATAGTGCAGGACTTTTAAGTGCACAGAGCAGATTGAACATGTGCTTAATTTTTTGCTCACTTCCCAACCTACTAAAAATAGAGTAAAGTATAAAATAGGGCATAGACCCAGAAAGACATGAAAAGAGAAGTGGTAAGTCTGATAGCGTATATGAGTTGTTAACAAAATTTTAGAAACTGGAAACTGGATGGGTAAGCATTAACTGGTTTGAAAGACAGCAAAAAGCTGCACCCTAAGCAACCAGGGTGGGAAGTCAACAACAAGCAAGATAATTTAAACTGTGCAAGTCTGCAAAAGCGCAGGAATTATGGGCTCCAGGTACATTGTAACGCCATAGTATGGGCAGGGTGAAGTTTACTAGGCTTTTAGTTGAAAATTTTGTATAATAAGCAGTTGGATGATCATGTGCTTACTCACCTTCACCCCAGCGTAAGACCTGTTTGCAGTTTATCTTTTGGAGAGGTTGAACAGGGGCTGCTCTAGCTTTAGGTATACAAGGCACAGGGAGATGGGTGGGTAGGGCATGAAGAGATGACAGGGAATTAACGAAAGTGTAACTACTACATAACATGTTGCTAGGAAGCAGGCTAGGAAGTGTAACTTCTTTAGGAAGCACACTCTTAAGATGAAAGTAAGCAAGAAGAAAGTTTATCAGAGAGCTCTTGTGGAACACATGTAGAAGGGAAGGAAAAAAGGAAGGAAGCAGAATTGGGCAGAGGGAGAAGTTGGGCTGTGATCCACTGTTAATGAACTCCTTGGTCAGTCCTACAGAGATCTCAAACTAGGATGGGTCTTCAGATTTATCCTGAACTGGGGCAATCAGGTCCGCTGGGTCTTTCTCACCTCCTTGCAGATCAGGTGTTGGATCTGTGGCTGTTGTGGGAAGGGGATATAACTTTAGGGGAGGCAGTTCTCTTCTGCAAGGCAACTCGTGAAGAGAGCTCACAGCTGAGGGCTGTCAGACAACAGCATTTAAGCTGCCATAGAAATAAGTCCTTTAAAGGAAGGTTTGGAGGGCATTTCATAGTATCCATTACATAGTAAGTTCCCTTTACCCTGGTTAATATCCAAAACACTGGAAGTCAGTTTTGTTCCTCACATCTGTCCTCCAAGGAAAAGGCTGGAGGCTACCTCTCTAGGAAAACTAGCCAACCTGAGAGAAAATATACACATACAGGTAGTGATAGTTGGAGGTCCTTTGCAAAAATAGCAAAGTCCCACCTGACAAGCCCCACCAAAGCACACTAAATTTCCAATCAGATTTTTAGTGCCTCATCCTTAAATATGATTAGACACCAAAGAACCCCCAGACAAGTAAAAAAGAAAAAATCTTTAATGTGAAAGGTACAATCAAATCAAACAAAAAAAAGAGCAATTTGGAGAAAACAGAAAATATAGAGAAGAAAAATGAGAACTACCATCTTCAGAGAAAGAGACACTATAAAAAGGGAATGTCAGAGAAAAAGGACACACTTTTAGAAATTAAAAATGATTAAATCAAATAAAAATAAAAATGATGTAAGTTGAAGAAATCTCCCACAGAGTAGAACAGAAGTGTAACAATACAGAAAATCGGTGAGAAGAGATAAGAAAATTAAGAGGATTAATCCAGGTCTATCATCTAACAGAAGTGTCAGAAAGAACAGAAAAAAAAAGGAGAGGAGGAAATTATCAAAGAAATAATGCAAGAAGTTTTCTCAGAATGGAAGGACATCAGTTTTAAGTGTGAAAGGACTGAATAGCCAAAGGAAAGAAAGAAGACCCATACTAAGGCACATGTCATCATATTATTAAAACAGCACTGATAAAGGGAAGATTCTGAAAAGATTTCAGAAAATGAAAACAGATCACACACAAAGATTCAGAATCACAATGGCACAGGACTTCTCACCAGCAAAGGAAACAAAAAGAGAATAGAGCAGTACTTTTCAAATTCTGAGGGAAAATAATCTCCAATTTAGGATTCTACACCCAGGCCAGCTATCAACCAACTCTGGTCAGGGAAGAATAAAGACATTTCCAGACCCACAAGCTCTCTCAGGAAGCTACCAGATTAAGTGCCCCATCAAACTGGAGACATAAAACAGAGAAAGATATGAAAGCCAGGAAATAAAAGAATCCTACAAAGCAGAATGGTGAAGGGAATTCCTAGACAGTAGAGAGAAACTCTAGAATGAGAGCTGTGTGATAGCCCTAGAAAACAATTAGTTTACACTGAAGCAGGAAGACAGAAGGTTTAAAGGAGGAAGTCTATGAGAAAAAAAATGGAACTGAGAGATCTCCTGATCTGTTTTGACTATATTAAGTCTTTCAGCTATGACAAAGAGTTTAGGGCTGACTTAGTTATATGAATATAGACAATAAGCAAATAATTAAACAAGATGGGGAAGACAAAAATGTGTACAGAAAGGAAATGCAACCATAATATTCTACAGGGTCCACTTGTGACCATTTACATTATCTCAATCAAGTAAACCTTAAATACAGATTTAATACAACTATAATGAAAGGGGAAATACACACACACACACACACGTGTGTGTGTGTGTATGTGCAGGAAGGTGAGGAAATAGGGGAGGTAGCAGAAGAGAGCTAAAGCTTCATCTTTCATGGTATGAAATCAATGTATATGTCAAGTTGAAAAATAATGAAAAAGTAGGATAAATACAACATTTGAAAGAAATATGGAAGTGAACAAAAGAAATAGAAGTCCCACTCCTACTACTTTCAGAATATGACTTTATTTGAAAATAAGGTTTTTATTGAGGTTATAAAATAAAAATGAGGCCTTTAGGGTGGGCCCTAATCTAACATGATTTTTTTTATCTTTATGAAGTATCTTTATGAAAAGAGGAAATTTGGACAAAGACAGGCATTAACAGAGAAAAGATGATGTGAAGATGTACAGGGAGAACACGGGAAGGTGGAGGACTGGAGTTAAGAACAAATGTGTGAGGCTACAAGAAGCTAGCAAAGAGGCATGGAATGGTTCCTTTCCTACCATCTTCAAAGGAAGCATAGCCCTACCAAACACCTTGGTTTTGGACTTCTGGTCTCCAGAATTGTGAGACAATAAATTTCTGTTGTTTTAAGCCAGTTTGTGCTACTTCATTATGGCAGCCCTAGTAAACTAAGAGGATCCTCAAATACAAGGTTAGAAACCAGTAGAACAAAGGAATGAATATTCAATTGTGAATGAGAAGTAAACGTTTTCCCTATAGATCTTTGTCACTAACTCAGTTAATCTCAACACAGTTTTCTCATTTTTATAATGAGGAGCTGAGATTTATTGATTTCTTAGACCATTTCAGCATAAAATTCAGTAATTTTAGGATAGCAACCTATTATCTGGTTGGAGTTTTAAGACTCAGAAAATCCACTGTGTGAAGAGTTGTTTTGTTCATCCATACCAATCCTCTTACTACTAACATAGACATGCAAAGTAGTGAATAATTTATGATAGCAAGTTAAGGAAAATTTTCATTAAAGGGAGGCCAAGGGGCACCTGGCTGGCCTGGTTGGTGGAGAGTGCAACTCTTGATCTCAGGGTTGTAGGTTCAAGCCCCACACTGGGTATAGAGATTACTTAAAAAAACAAAAACAAAAACAAAATTAAAAAAATTAAAAATTAAAAAAAAGGAGGCCAATTATCATCATCTTTTTTTCATTTCTGAAACAAATAATACACTATATGTTAAAAAAAAAAGAAGAAGATAGCAGGAAGGGAAAAATGAATGGGGGGAATCGGAGGGGGAGATGAACCATGAGAGACTATGGACTCTAAGAAACAAACTGAGGGTTCTAGAGGGGAGGGGGGTGGGGGGATGGGTTAGCCTGGTGATGGGTATTAAAGAGGGCACATACTGAATGGAGCACTGGGTGTTATATGCAAACAATGAATCATGGAACACTACATCAAAACCTAATGATGTAATGTATGGTGATTAACATAACATAATAAAATAAAAATAAATAAATAATATACAGTATTTTTCTATTTTCTTTTAGCTAATAGCTATGATGCTCCATGATATAAAATTAAGTTTATATGTAATATGTCACATTTTACCAAAGGAAACATTTTTTTGTCTAAAATTGGTATCAGCAAAAGCAAAATAGTTATTACATTTCCCACACTTTTGGGATGCTTAGTAGGATCTTGTTAGGCACTTACCTCTCTAAGTACTCTGCAAGAAGTTGTTCTGCTGCAGATGAATACATCCACTCACTTCCAACTTTCTTGGTATATCCAGGTACCTCCTCATTTTTTTTGTTGAATTTGAGATTCAAACCCACATTTGCTTTATGGTCTCCATGAGGGCTGAATTTAAATCACACACACACACACACACACACACACACACACACACACACACACACACACACAGTTTTAAAATTTTGTTCAAAAAATACAAAAAGTTTTGCTTTCAAAAAATTCTTAGAAAAATTTAGTTTTGATTGTTCTATAGGTTTCATGGTTATTTCCAAAGTAGCAGTAAGGCTTTGAAACCCAAGTTAACAAATCATATAAATAGATTATGTATCTAGAGAAGAGAATGAAATAAGAAAATGCAGGGAAATATATTATTGAGATTCACACACACCTTCTGATACCTTTTTTCAAGGTTCAATTTGTTAGCTGCTAAAAATAAGAACTGTCTTTCCAAACACCTAAAACATGTCCCATTTAGATGAAAGATCACCATCAGAGGAATTTATGCATAATTTTTAAAGAAAATTCAGAGCAATTAATAAAAGAAAATAAATACTAAAATATTAACCAGTTTATCTTTATCATTTAATTTTTTCTGCCACTTTAAATAAATTTCTCTAACATAAACTTACTTTCTCCTAGATCCTCTTCCAATAAAAATACTTCCTGTAAACCTTGAAACAAGGTATCCACTCACTCCAAGACGACTGGCCAACACATATCCTGGGTTGTACTTTATAGAATATTTCTTTAAATATAAAAACAAAAAGGTCAATTATGGAAACACAAAGCATCAAATGTTATTTCTTTACCTTTAAAATCTGGAGATAATCAAGACATCACTAACCATTGGAATGTGGCAATATAAGGATTCTCAAAAGTAAGTGATCCATTTCCCTTTTTTTTTTTTGAAAGGATCTGTAGGCAGAATTTTTCTGCTCCTCTCTCTCCTTAAAGGACAGAATTCCCAAGGATGGATGAAAGGGGGAGGAAATATACAATTTGTGAAACTGTCTCAAGAAATAAAGTCTACTGTAAGTCTAAATGGCAAACTCTGCAGGCAAGAACTATTTTTAAACATTAATTTTCATATTCCAAGTAAGGACTAGTAAAGTACTGGGACATAATGAGGCCTTGATGATTATTACATTGAATTAAAACATGAGTATGTCATCAAAACAGTTGCTACTGAGCAAAATTAAAAATGTTCTTCATATATGAATATAAGTAATATTCATCTCCCCTTATATTTACTATCATATGAAAATAAGAAGTATGTATAGGCTTATAATTAGTACAAAGAAATATAACCTTAATTTGTGTACTTAAGGGAAGAAACTATGAAGATTAAAAAAAAATATATCAGATCATATAATTTTTAACCAGGAAGCAAATTATAAATCCAGTACCAAAAAGGGTAAGCTACCATATAATCCTAACATAATGCATAATAATGACACACATTTTATATGGATTTCATATACTATATTCATATGAATATGTATAAATATAGTACATATTTATATGAATCATATGCATATTTTATATGTCCACAATAACCCCCAAATGAATAAATTTTTTTAGCTGCATGAAATATATAAATTCATTATCAAAATATGTTAATATCTTTCTTGGTAAAGAATGCAGTATAGTTTTTCCATCAAGAGCATTATTAGGTTTAGAAATAATACAGACAAATCAAATATGCTTTCCAGAATAGATAGGAAGAAATAAGGTAGTAGTTCTCTATCACAGGTAGTATCACTTATTTTTCTAATAAGCATCTGGAAATGTATAGGGGCACATGATTCAGTTATTGGCGTGGGCTACTACCTCTTAGTGTCCAGGGGACAAAGATGCCAACTATGCTGTCATATATAGGACAGTCCTATTTTACACATTGTTGTCCTATCCAAAACACCAATGGTATTCCTTTTGAGAAGTATTTGGTTATGGTATAACTAAAATTGATGAAGACCATCACAAATATTCTAGAAAATGTAAAATAAAAAGCAGAGAACATTGGGGTAGAGAAAGAAGGCTTGAGTAAAAGTTAAATAAAGTATGTAAAGAGAAAGAGAGCATAGTGGAGAAGGCATGCCTAGCAACACTGTACGTTGGAGGTGGGCAGGTTCATTCAGATCTAGAAAAAGCTAGGGAGGAACATAAGTAAGTTGTTCTACCTCCACTAACTCCCAGAACAGAGAGCTCCAGCATCTTAATCAAATGGGACACTCTTCTGGTTTCCTGACTGTGCTTTCTGAATTCTTTCTCCAAAGACACCTGATGGTAAGAATTTAGGGACTTGTCTGCCTTCCATAAAGTTTCCTCAAGTATATGCTGATGTTCAATGCCTTGAGTTCATCCTACAGGATATAAAGCTTTAGAATTTACAATTAGAGAGAATAAAAGTGTAAGTATCAATAGCTGGCTGATTGTGAATTAACTTCAGTCAAATTAATTATCTAGTCACAATAAGAATATACAACAGATATCAGAATCCTCCTCCTATTGTAATAGGGAAAAATAAAGGAGGCCAGTGAACATCTTTGGAGAAAAAGGTCCTAAAAAAGGATGCTGTGAATTTAAAGGCAGTTTCCCAATTTTTTCTAGTGATTGTTCATCTTTAGCTTCCATTGCAGAAAGGCCATTACTTGTAACTAAAAATGTAGGCTTTGATTATGAAAAGTTTATTTAAAAAAAAATCTAAGTCTATTCCCAGAGGGTGGGCTAAAAAATGTGCCCCTTCTTAAGCTTAAACATGATAACCCATAAAAACTGTTATAGATTAATAATGGGATTTCAGTGATTTTTTTCCCCTGAACATTTTTTTTAAAGATTTTTATTTTTATTTATTTGAGAGAGAGAGAGAGAGAGAGTGCATAAGCAGGGGTAGTGGCAGAGGGAGAGGGAGAAGCAGGCTTCCCGCTGAGCAGGGAGCCAGATGCGGGGCTTGGGGCTTGGGGCTCGATCCCAGGAACTTGGGATCATGACCTGAGCCACCCAGGTGCCCCTCCCCTGAACATTTGCATGAAATTTGAGCACAGATTCCCCACACTCATTTTTAAATACTAGATGCAACTGTGAGATAATTTAATCAGTATTACATAAAAATATTTATAATATATTCAGAGAAGATGGTAAAAATATGCTTCTACCACTTTTAAAGTTTATCAATTCTAAATTAAGCAATATGGACTATGGTACTCACATGCTGGTTCTGTATTAAAGCATCAAGATTGGGTTCACATGGAATGCTGAAAACCACACGAATCCTACCTTCTGTAATCACATCCCCTGAATCTTGAACCTTGGAGGGAAAAAGAAAATCACAGTTTGTTTTAGTCTCTTTCACATTGTATTTACTTTTCTATTTATTTGAACAGTGTTTATTTCTTTTTTTTTTTTAATTTTTTTATTGTTATGTTAATCACCATATATTACATCATTAGTTTTTGATGCAGTGTTCCATGATTCATTGTTTGTTCATAACACCCAGTGCACCATGCAAAACGTGCCCTCCTCAATACCCATCACCAGGTTAACCCATCCCCCCACCCTGAACAGTGTTTATTTCTGAAATACAGTAAGACGGTAAAGTTGGATACTGGAAATTCTCTCAGAAATTATAAATGAATGTGATTATATTGCAAATTTGAGTCATTGTACATTGCTTCAATAGCTGTTAGCAAATAATTTTAAATTACCAAAAAGCTACAAACACAAAAACAGGTCAAAGATCACTTGTAAAACATTCACCTAGATGTTAACATTTTACTCCATCTGCTTCAACATTTATACTCTGTGTATTTACATATACATGATTATTTTTTTGAACTTTTTGAGGGTATATTACATATATCATGTCCCTTACCCTTTAATATTTTGGTGTATATTTCCTAAGAAGGATATTTTATTACATAACCACAGTACAGTTACTAAGTATATTCATTTACATTGATAAAAGACTTCAATCAACTGTCCATATTCCAATTTTGTCACAGTTGACCTAAAATTGTTCCTATATTATAATAAAGAAAACCCTTTTCTCCCTCTACTACAGAAACTAGGCTAGGATCAGACATTGCATTTAGTTGTCATAGCTCTAGCCTCCTTAAATCTAGACTATATCCAAAGCGTTTGTCTTTTATAACATTGACATTTTTGAAGAATAAGGTCATTCTTCCCTCTTCATCCTGCCTTTAAAAACAAAAGTTCCTCATTTTGGATTTGTCTGATGCTTCCTTATGATTAAGTTAAACTCATATATTCCCAGCCAGAATAGTGCATGGGTGATGTGTCCTTCTTAGGTATCACATATGGAGGTACATGATATTGCTCACTTTCTTCAATGTCCAATTAGGTTTTTTTTCCTCTTACAACTAATTAACAGTCTGTAGGAAGACACTTTCTAAGGCCATGAAAATATCCTACTCAGATAAAAAATTCCCCCTAGATTTAGTTTCCAATGATGATTGTTGCTTGACTCAATCTTTATCGTAATGCTTATAAAATGACAGTTTTCCAACTCTAGCACTCTCTCCATTTACCTTTGACAGGATATATATATCCTGTCAGCAAGAGTCCTTCCTTTCCCTTTTACTTATTCATTATCACTATGGAATCATTAATTCCTATCCCCCCCCAATGGTTTATAATCCATTACTGTAGTTCATTATTTTGGTACTCAAACTGTCCCAGATTTGGCCACTTTGGTAGGAGCCCCTTTAAATAGGTTTCTGTGTTTATGTGATATGGTCCCATCACTCTTTTGAGCACTTCCTTACTTTCTGGCATAACAAGTGGTTCCAGGCTAATCCTGTACCTACCCTGCCCCAACCCTGTAATGGGCCATTTCTCTGAGAAGCTTTCAGTGGAGTATGTTATTAGAAGTCAAACCTGCAGATTTTATGTGTTCACTGTTATTGAAGTATCTTGGCTTCTTATCCTTTTGAGCAAATAGAGCTAAAACATATGTGTATGTACAGGCATATATGCATTCATACACATACAAATATACATATATATCCATACACGTGTGCCCATATACATACATGTATACACACGTATTTTAAAAATCATGAGTTCACATTAATACCTTCAATTCTAATCTGTCTCCACAAATTCCTTCTTGCATTCTTCCATTTCATATTTACATGTATCTTTTTCCATGTGAGAACTGGAGTTCCTCAAATATCAACACATTTACAAGTTCATCAACCCAATAATACAACTAAAATAATTTCATAATTGCTTCATCCATACTACCATAATGAATAAACCTGCTAAATAAGAGATTAGGATTTGAATTCTTTTTCCCCTGCCTCCTGACCCCAACCTGCTCAAGACGAAAGATATATAGTCAAATACTGTGTTCATAAGTTAGACAAATGAATCTTTTCCCCTTCAGTATTACATTTTATCTTATACCTAAGTGAAGAGAAGTTAAATAACTATATTAACTTAAAACTAGAAAGAAATTTAATTAGTAACAATAACAGGAACTAACTTCTCCAGCGCAGCCATAATAGGGGGTTCCCAGCATAAAGACCATACTTCTAGGAGGAAACAAGTCATCCAATGTTTTGATATTGGAGAAACGGGAGTCAAAAGCTCGGATGTCCTATATAGAATGAAATATAAAAGTAAATTATCACAGTAAAAATTTCTATGGATTGCACATCAAGTTGTTCTTCCTCTGGGGTTATTACTATGCTGTCTGCAAATGTGAAGTGTAAAGATTTTCTATGTAACAATACTAGTAGCTAAAATGTATTGACTTTATATGCCATTCTTCTAGGTACTGCATACATTTATCAGTTCATTTCATCCTCAAGATAACCCTCTATAGCACAGATCATTATTAGCCTCACTTTACACATGGGGAAACTCAGGCATAGAAAGGGGATGAAATCTCGCCCAAGGTCATACAGCTAAAAAGTCAACTCAGGCAGTCTGTGCTCTTAATCACTACACTATACTGTTTCCCAAAATTACAGGATCAATACACACTTTAAAAAAATTTTGTCTCCTCATCACACCCAAAATTACAAACACAAAAGCAAATGCCTTTATTTATTTATTTACTAATTTATTTAAGGCAAACATTTTTTGGAGAATAAAACTCTAAAACTGCAGGCTGTTAGGCTAATGCTGGGCTTTTTCATTAGAGATTAAGTTTAAAAAATAAATAAATAAATAAAGACAAGTTCCCTAATCACACAGAGTGAGTGTCTGAGCATATAATAATCCTTTTATTTATTTATTTATTTATTTATTTAAAGATTTTATTTATTTATTTGACAGAGAGAGAGAGAGAGCACAAGTAGGCAGAGTGGCAGGCAGATGGAGAGGGAGAAACAGGCTCTCCGCTGAGCAGGGAGCTGGATGTGGGGCTCGATCCCAAGACCCCAGGACCATGACCTGAGCCGAAGGCAGCCGCTCAACGGACTGAGCCACCCAGGCGCCCCTATAATAATCCTTTTAAAGACTACAGTTTTTGTGGTGGTTCAAGATGGCGGCACAGGAAGATCCTCAACTCCTCTCCTCCCATGGATACACACCGAATCTTCAGCTACGTATGGAACAATTAGCCCCCTCTTAAAAAGACCTGAAAACTAGGTGAACAGCAACTCCACAACAGACTAAAAGGTACACATCGATATGGGTAGGAGAGGCAGAGACACGCTCTTGCCAAAAACCCCACCCCTGATGTGGAGACCCACAATCAGGAGAGATCTCCTTCTTGAGGAGCAAGGGGTTTGTGTTCCACATCAGGCACTCCAACCCTTGGAAACTCCACTGGAGAGACAGGCCGCCAAAGTATCTGGCTTTGAAACCAATGGGGCTTATGTCCAGGAGACCCAAAAGGCTGTAGGGAATGGAGATTCTACTTTTATAAAGGGCTTGTGTGCAGACTCACTGGCCCTGAGATCCAGGGTAAAAGCAGCAGTTTGAAAGTGCCTAGAAAACATTCATTTGCTAATCTTAAAGTGTTTGCCAGAGGGACAGGGGACTGTTGGGACTTTCTCTGGGCACAGAAGTGCTGGCAAGTGCCATTTTTTGTGTTCTTCCTTTATTTTGCTAGCATTGGCAGGTGTGTCCTGCTGAAGCTGGCAGGCACACCCCACCCCCATGTATATATATGTGGTCTCTCTCTCTCTCTCTACACACACACACACACACACACACTGGGATACTACTCAGCCATAAAAAATAATGAAAATCTTGCCATTTGCAACAACATGGATGGACATGAGGGTATTAAGATAAGGGAAGTAAGACAGAGAAAGACAAATATATGACTTCAGTTAATATGGAATTTAAAAAACAAAACAAATAAAACAAAACACAACACAAGTAACAGATACAGAGAAGACTGGTGGCTGCCAGAGGGAAGGGGTTTGGGGAGATGGGTGAAATGGGTGAAGAGGCTTAAGGGGTACAAACTTAGAGTTATAAAATAAATAAATCATAGGGATGTAATAATGTACAGTGTGGTGACTTTAGTCAATAATAATGCACTGCATATTTTAAAGTTGTAAAACAGTAAATCTTGAAAGTTCTCATCATAAGAAAAAAATTTTGTAACTTTGATGACAGATGGTAACTAGACTTATATTGGTGATCATTTGGCAGTGTATACAAATATTGAATCATTTTGTACACTTCGAAACCAATATGTCAATTATACGTAAATTAAAAAAAGACTAGTTTTTTCAGATTATATTAAATCATAACCTCCATTATGCATTGCTGCATTAGTCTTCTATTTATAAATATTAAATATGATATAGTCTTTTCTTTATACAGTGGGAGTAATGTACATTAAGATACAATTGAGATTTGATGGACACTTACCTTTACAATAGTTTGATAAACAAAAGGAAGAACTTGTTTTGACCACTGTTTCTCTAGACGAACTTCACCATTTTGATTTATTTGGTATTTACGACCTGTGAGTAACTGAGCATATACAACTGCAGATGTTTCATTTATTATTATTCCTTTCCTTCTTAGGTAGCTAAAAGAAAGAATAAAAAATAAATGTAGATATGTATGAGTATGTACATATTCTAGGATGATAAACTACCAACTCATAATCAAATATTTAAATAAAATTTAAATAAATATGCTAGCAGTTCTGAGTACCTAACTTAAAATTTTTTTGCATTAGTTTTTTACTGTATGGATACCTCTCCCAATGCCTGTGTGATTAAATGAGAACTCGTTTAAGTGCTATAAGAAATTCTTTTTTTTTTTTTTTAAGATTTTATTTATTTATTTGACAGAGAGAGACACAGTGCTAGAGGGAACACAAGCAGGGGGAGTGGGAGAGGGAGAAGCAGGCTTCCTGCTGAGCAGGGAGCCCCATGCAGGGCTCAATCCCAGGACCCTGGGACCATGACCTGAGCTGAAGGCAGATGCTTAACAACTGAGCCACACAGGCACCCCAAGAAATTCTTGTGTTTCATAATCACTAGGATGGGGATAACAAAAAAAAAGTGAAAATAGCAAGTGTTGGAAAAGATGTGGAGAAACTGAAACACTTGTACATTGCTGGTGGGAATGCAAGATGGTGCACTCACTGTGAAAAGCAGTTTAGAGTTCTTCAAAAAGTCTAGCAATTCCACTTCTAGGTATGTACACAAAGAACTGGAAAGGTACTCAAACAAGTATTTATAAATGAATGTGCATAGCAGCATTACTCACAATAGCAAAAAGGTGGAAAGAACCCAAATGTCTTCCAAGAGATGACTGGATAAACAAAAGGTGGTATATCCATACAATAAAATATTTGGCCATAAAAAGAAAGAAGTACTGATACCTGTTACAATGTGTATGAACCTAAAAAATATGCTAAGTGTAAGAAGTTAGACACAAAAGGCCACATATTATATAGGATTCCATTTCTGTAAAACATACATAATAGGTGAATCCAGAAAGACAAAAAGAGGTTAACAGGGGCATTCAGTGGGCCTTTGCAATCTCAAGTAGGGGTCAGCAAACTACGATCATGAGACAAATCTAGACTGACTCCAGTTCTTGTAAATAAAATTTTACTGAAACATAGTCATCAATTTATTTACTGTCTATGATGGCTTTTGTGTTACAACAGCATAGTTGAGTGGTTGTGACAAACACAAACAAGTTGTGACAAACTTACAAAGCCTAAGATACTTACTATCTGGCCTCTACAGAAAAAACCTGCTGACCTCTGATCTAAAGATAAAATCATTCTTCATCCAAGGGATATTATTCTATCTCCTTTCCATTTTTTAGAGAAATATTAGAAATTAACTATACTCTTTTCATCTCTTCGTGCTTTTGTACTATGTGCTAAAGGAATCCCTCAGCTTCAACTTTTAACTCACTGACTGAATTTTCAGTATGCCTATATTACTATTCAGACCATCTACTGAGCTCATTATATCATAATTTAAATTTTTGTATTTTGTGTTTTTATATAAATATATGTATTATAAAATATATACTATAAATATAGTATATAGATGAATGACATTATATATATATATATATGTTTTTTTCATAGCAGCTGATACTTTTATGTTGTTGTTCTCAATGGTAGCCTTGGTCTGAAATAAGCCACACCATCTTAAAAAAGAAACGTAAGTTTTCCAACAATTTTTGAAATGTAGCATTCTGCTACCATTTTCTTTCTTTTTTTTTTTAAAGATTTATTTATTTATTTGTCAGAGAGAGAGAGAGAGCACAAGAGGGGGGAGTGGCAGGCAGAGGGAGAAACAGTCTCTTTGCTGGGGAAGGAGCCTGATGCGGGACTTAATCCCAGGACCCTGGGATCATGACCTGAGCTGAAGGCAGACACTTAACTGACTGAGCCACCCAGGTGCCCTCGACTACCATTTTCTAAAAATTCAATGGGAAAACCTACTACTTTCACTCAAAAGTTATTTAGCCAGTAATCTTGCTACCAATATGACAAGGATATCTCAAGAGAGGAAAATTATCTGCTAATCTTTCTCATGAAAATAAAAGCAAAAATCCTAAACAAAATGTAACAAATTGAATCCAATTACATATAAAAAGGATAATATATCATAGCCTAATAGGATTTACTCCAGGAATTCAGGGACAGATTTATATTTGAAATTCAATCAACATGATTCACCAGATTAAAAGAAAAAAAGAAAAATCAAATGATCATTTTGACAGATGCAGAAAAAAATTGACAAAATCAGTACTGATTAATGATAAAAACTCTCAACCAACTAGGAATAGAAGGAAATTTTCTTTATCTGATAAAGAATATTGATTGAAAAAAAACCTTCTATGGCAATCATATTTAATAATGAATTATTTAAGGCTTTTCTCTGAAATTGAGAATAACATCACAAATCAATAATGAAAATTACAAATAAAAGACAGTGGGACACCTGGGTGGCTCAGTGGGTTAAGCCTCTGCCTTCAGCTCAGGTCATGATCTCTGGGTCCTGGGATCGAGCCCCACATCGGGCTCCCTGCTCAGCAGGGAGTCTGCTTCTCCCTCTCCCTCTGCCTCTCCCCCCCTGCTTGTGCCTGTGCTCATGCTCTCGTGCTCACTCGCTCTCTCTCTCAAATGAATAAATTAAAAAATCTTAAAAAAAACCAAATATGAGATAGGTAATCAACTCAGAAAAAGGGCAAAATATTTGAACAGGCATTGCACAAAAGAGCATATTCAAATGCCTGACAAATATGAAAGGATGCTCATCAGGGAAATGCAAATTAAACCAAAAGAAATATCACTATATTGCAATGGCTAAAATGTAAGGGACAATAATAAGCACTGATGAGGGAAGAGATAAAAGAAATTCTTATAAATTGCTGGAAGAATGTAAATTGATACAATCACTTTGTAAATCTTTTCGGTGGTATCTACTAAAGCTGAGCTTAAGCATTATCCTATGAAGCAATAATTCCACTTGTAATTATGTACCTAACAGTAGTGCATACATATGTATTCACTAAAAGCTCCAAACAAGAAACAACTGCCCATCCAAAAAAGTATGGATAAATTGTGCTATATTCATACAATGTAATCAGTGAAAATGAACAAACTAAACTATAAGTAACAACACAGATGAATATTAAAATCACAGTACTGAGGAAAAGAGGTCAGGTTCCAAAAGAATACATTATGTATGAATCAATTCATACAAAGTTCAAAATAGGAAAAACTAATCTCTAGAGTTATAAGATTTATTTATTTGAGAGAGAGAGAGTACATGCGAGTGCACGCGTGTATGGGGGGGGCAGGGGCAGAGGGAGACAGAGAAAAACCTCAAGCAACCTCCCAGCTGAGCGTAGAGCCTGACCCAGGGCTAGATCCCAGGACCCTGAGATCATGACCCAAGCCAAAACCAAGAGTTGGAGGCTTAGCCGACTGAGTGACCCAGGCACCCCTCTCTATTTACTTTTGCTTTTACCTTACACTTTTATTGCTTTGGGGTCAGTGTTGTAGTCAGTATTCTTTTTTTTTTAAACACCTGTGTTTGTTTATTTATTTAAAAGATTTTATTTATTTATTTGACAGAGAGAGACACAGCAAGAGAGAGAACACAAGCAGGGGCAGTGGGAGAGGGAGAAGCAGGCTCCCCGCAAAGCCAGGGAGCTTGATGCCAGGCTTGATCTCAGGACCCTGGGATCATGACCTGAGCTGAAGGCAGACGCTTAACGACTGAGCCACCCAGGCGCCCCACCTGTGTTTATTTATTTTTAAGTAAACTCTACCTCCAATTTGGGGCTCAAACTCACAACCTTGAGATTAGAGTCACGTGCTCTACTGACTAGCCAGGTGCCCCTAGTCTGTATTCTTTCTTTTTTAATTGAAGTATAATTGGACATACATTATATTAGTGTTATTTTACCATATAGGGAGACTACAAAAATGGCACCTGCCAACTTTGGCACTAGCAAGGTAGAGGAAGAATGCAAAAATGGCACCTGTCAATGCCTCATCCCTGGAAAGAATTCCAACAGGCCCCTGTCCCTCCAACAGTTACCTAAGGTTAGCAAATCAATGTCCTTCCCATATGGTCTTGGCACTTTACAAACTTCAGCTTTTACCCTACCAGGGTCCTGGGATAATTGAGTCCACATGGGAGCTCTTTAAGAGAAGAATCTCCATTTCCTACAGCTCTGTTTCTCCTGCACACAAGCTCTATTGGTTTTCAAAGCCAGATGTTTTGGGGCTTGTCTCTCTAGTGCAGGTTCCAAGGGTTAAGGTAACTGATGTGGGGCATTAAATTTTTAAAGATACTTACTATATCTCTTCTTTTCTAAATTATAAACAAAACTATCCTTTAACTTTTTCTTATGTAAAATGAGAGTTAGTACTTAAAAAATAATTCTGTATTTTAATAATTTATTAATAATTGGTGTTTATCACCAATCCTTTGGTGACCACATTTTTTTGGTTGATTCATCTCTTGCTTGTTTGAGGTACAAGGTTTTGGAACTCCAAATTATCTTCCAAGTGCATCATCTTCTCCATAGCATCCCATAAAGTACTTGTGTCTTTCTTCTTGTCTTCCGTCTTTCTCCAATTCCTAATCCTTTTCACTCCATTATATCCTTAATAGCAACCTCTTTAACTGAAGGTATCATCAGTTCTCTATGTAGCCCTCTCAAGGAGTAGCTGTTTGTTTTCATACTGTATATGGGCTAGGAGAGGGTGTTGGTGTTCTTACAACCCACTGTGACATTCAAATCCTTCATAGTAAACTACTCTACTCTTTTCTATTCTACCCTTATGCCCACCATCTTCCAGAATGCCTTCAGTGTTTACATAAATAACTTACCTAAGACCTCAGGAATTTAGTTTCACAATCTCCTTATTGCCAATAACCTTCTTTTCCATTCCACTTCAGCCATCTAATGCTATGGCTATGACTTGGGTCATGACATCACCCATAATGGGTTCACCTCCCAAATCATTAATCCCAACATCTTATTGTCTAAAAATTTCTCCATCCAACTTGCTTGTTCAACCACTTTATGATTAACTTAATTTGGGATCTCCAATCCACTGACCCTTTTACTTTCTCTGAAACTATTAACTTAACCTTCTACTTTCTTTACTTCTCTTACTATCCCACTTAGATTCCATTGTCCACTATTTAGTAACATTCCCACCAATATCCTAAACTTCTTTGCCTCTTTGTCTTTTCATTATATCCATCTAGCAAAATCCAGTGCTAGTTAAATCTCTCTGCTTTTTCTAGGCCTGTAACTGATCAACTTCAAAAAGGGCCCTCAATATTGCCTATAATTCAACCATGTTTTTCTGATCAACTGATACTCTTCCATTTTCCCCAAGGACTATTTCTTTTTAAAGTTTATTTATTTATGTAAGTAATCTCTACACCCAATATGGGGCTCGAATCATGACCCCACGATCAAGAGTCACACGTTCTTCTGAATGAGCCAGCCAGGTGCTCCCCCAAGTACTATTTTCAAACCTCCTCTACTTTACTCAAATTTGAGACCAACCTCCCTTTCCCTGACTCCATTCTCAATAGCTAAATTCAACATTCACTTTACAAAGAAAACAAAAGGCATCCAATGAGAGCTTCTCATCTGCCCCATGCCAAACACACATACCAACCTATATTTGTATACCATCCTGTTTAAAATAGAGGAGCTACCTTTTATATTTTTTAAGAATCTATCTTGTTCCATCCTTCAAATATATTGTTTTCTTTCTTTTGAATATTGCACCTCTCTTCTCATTTGTTTTTACACATGATCCTATCTCTCTGAATAAACCAAACACAAAGTCCTTCTTCAGCTATGTCTTAATGGTAGTTTTCATTAGAAAGGAAATCTGTTACATAGGAATACAAAAAAGTATCAACATTGTCTAATGTACTTAGAGGATTTCTAAAAATAAAATCACATAATTTGGTACTCATGGAAATATGTCATATGCTACGTTCACAAAAAAAGGATGTACTGAACTTAGGAGAACATGTCTTGGTTAGTAAGATATATGGAGAGATAAGTGAAATAAGTAGGTTCTACATTCTTGCTGTAGAAGTCTTAGAGTTAAGGATGGTCTGCATAAGCATTACTCCTAATCATTAGAGCCACGAGATCCTCATGCTGATATAATGTGCAAAATCACAAGTAAAGTAAACCAAACCCTCAGGGGAAGAGTACGAGAGGCCTTGTGAATTTCACCTTAGAAGACAGATTATAGAAGAGCTGGGGAGGTGTAGGAGGAGGGGACAAAATGTGAGGTGATTTGAGGGAGGAATATGGTGGTAAAAAAAAAAAAGCAGTCTAAGAAAGTGGTAACCAGAATAAATAAACCTGCTTATGAATCCACATAGCCTTGTCTACCCTACTTGGTTAACAAGAGATCCTGAACTGGCAGGCACTAAAAATCATTCTTTTGTGTGAACCAGCATACACTGCCATCAACTTCAGCAGCAGTGTGCTGCTTTGATTGTTATCTCTGCTCTTTGTGGCCATCATAGAAGATCAAGACCATCCATACGGGAAAGAATAAGTAGAACAAGGGGTCAAGAGTTTTTGGTTTACTTCACAACTGAAGTTTCAAGTCGTTTATTCCTATTATGTTTCCATTTCTGTCACTCTCAATCATTCCTCCACCCATACTAGTCTGGCTTACAGCCCCACTGCTCAATCAAAATTGCTCTTGCTTAGCATCTTCTTCATAACATTTGACATGACTTATTCCCTTATTCTTCACTCTTTTTCTTTGACTTGCATGAGGTAACTCTTCCCTGGCTGCTCTACCTCTCAGATTGCCTCGTTCTTTTTCCTTTGTTGCCTCATCTTCCTCATTAGGGTTCCTTTTTGGTTCCAACACTCCAGCCACATTGGTCATTATCATTAATGTTACACATGCTACTTTTCCACTTGCCACAAGACTCTGTATGTACCTTTTTCTCATCCTGAAACATGCTCCCGTTTCACTCTTTGCCTAACTCCTACCCTACATTCAGATACCAGTTTAATCAACATTTTCCTCTGCTAAGTTTTCTCTAAGGCAAATGCCTCCTTAGCTAAGTCTAACTCTTTTATATGGTCTCAGAGAACTACTCCTTGAAAGCAATTATCATAATTACAGTTTGGTCAAAAATTCACACAAGATGGGGCACCTGGGTGGCTCAGTTAAATGACTCTTAGATTCGGCTCAGGTCCTGATCTCATGGCTCCTGAGACTGAGCCCTGCATTGGGCTCCATGCTCAGTGGGAGTTGGCTTGGATATTCTCTCCCTCTGCCCTTTCCCCCACTCACACATGCACTCTCTCTCTTTCAAATAAATAAATCTTAAAAAAAAAATTCATACAAGACATTAATGCCCATTTCTCATCTACCAGCCATAAATTTCGTAAGTGTAGGGACTGTGTGATTTTTAAATTTTTTTTATTTTGTTATGTTAATCACAATACATCATTAGTTTCTGATGTAGTGTTTTCATGATTCATTGTTTGCGTATAACACTCAGTGCTCCATGCAGAACGTGCCCTCCTTAATACCTGTCACTAGGCTAACCCATCCCCCCACCCCCCTCCCCTCTAGAACCCTCAGTTTGTTTCTCAGAGTCCATAGTCTCTCATGGTTCGTCTCCCCCTCCGATTCCCCCCCTTCATTTTTCCCTTCTTGCTATCTGTGAGTGTGGACTGTGTGATTTTATTCACCGTGGTATCTACAGTGCCAACTACTAAACCTAGCAAGTAATAATTGTTGAACACATGAACAAATGTCTAAACTCTTGTAGTATTTTGAATGAGTTTCTTTTCAATCAAAGGAGTCGAACAAAACAATCTCTATTCACTTAAACAAATAAATATATATTTTATTGAGTGACTTAGCATTAGCCAAGGAATGAGAACAGAGTAATAACAAAAATAGATGTGGTCCCTACCCTTACGGAGCACACTATCTAAGGAAATGGTCATTAAAGTAATCACACAAATAAATTTATTATTGTGATTTTTATTTATGAACTATAAAATAAAATTCAGTGTAGTATGAACTATGACAGGGATATCTAATTTGTACTGTCAGAAGGCAAAAATAGCTCTACCTCCCGAGAGCTATGTTTATCTTGTTTTATGCTGGACTGTTTTTTTTTTTTAAAGATTTATTTGTTTATTTGAGAGAGAAAGAAAGTGTGCAAGTGTGAGCAAGGGGAGGGGCAGAGGGAGAGGGAGAGAGAATCTCAAGCAGACTCCATGCTGAGTGCAGAGCCCAACATGGGCTCGATCTCACAACCCTGAGATCACAACCTGAGCCGAAACTAAGAGTTGGATGCTTAACTGAATACACCATCCATCCTAAGCTGGATGGTTTTTTATTGTCTTTTTACATTTTCCCTGTTTACTCATCTTTGAATAAGGATATTATAGCCTGGTATTGGCTCCAAAATTGTATAAGAGGCATCTCCTTAAAGTCCCCATTTACCAATGGATGTTATAGTTTTAATAGGAAGGGTAATGGATATACATTTCTAACACCATTCCATGTGCTATTGCCAGTCTCTATTATTCTGTTTTGGTTTAGAGAATTCTAGTACTTGGATGAAGAAAAGATAAGTCATGGTGGGATCATGGAGTAGGGCTAGTGTCTTAGTTATTTGGCTGGTATAGACCTAGCATTTCTGAATTCAGGGGCATAAGGGACTTAGGTGTAGGGAAGGTAGGAGAGTGAGCAGGTGAGGAACAAAGGAAAATTTTCCTTCCTATTTTCAATACTTACATGCGGCCAAGAAATTCAATGGCAACCTATTAACTATTATTAACTGTTATTCCTAGTATTATATGATTGTGCCTTTTTTTGTACATGATGAAGTATTTTAGTGACAAACTGGGCAAGGCTATAACTGCTCCTAATCAGGTATTATTTTAAACTAGAACTCATTGTTTTCTTTGGAACATAAAATGAAGATGTAGTTAGTATTCATAGTGATTACTATGTTAAGCAGGAAATAAGCTTGAGAACAAGTACATTAGATCACATTCTAGTTCTATGACATTAAATACATTTATGACACTCACTATTCTGAAATTCCTTGTACTTCTTTTGTCCAGTTAGATTGTTCCTTGTCTCCAAGATGGACCACTTTAGATGGTGGGGCAGTTCTTCCCAAATAAAGCTTCTGTGTTCCTGGAGGTTCTTCCAAGTAAAATCTTAAAAATTAAAATAAAATTAAAATTATATTACCCCCAAATTTATGGTTTAATATAGTGTTCTAGCAGTATAAGTCTTCAAAGTGGAAAGGTTTCTACGTGGTATAACAGCACAAAACCAGGTGTCCTTTTTTTTTTTTTTTTTAACTGTAACATAAATTTTAGAAAAAGGACTTGTAAAAATTTTCATTCAAATATAAAAATTTTATTTTCTCTTTAAAAAAACTACATAATAAAATATAAATTTTTAAAGAATTAAAAAAATATGCTCAAATTCAATAAAGTATTTTTGCTAAAAAGTTTAACTTGATTCTGATCAAGCCATTATACCTAACTTCCAGTTGACAAGAAATATATGGGATGGAGGACCAAGTTAAATGACCCTAAGAGGAGACAACCAGGTAAATCCAAAATTCTACAAAATAACTGGTCCGGACTCTTCAAAGAAAGAGGCAGGGATGTAAGCTTAGTCAGCCAGGTCCCAGGATATAAAATCAACATACAGAAATCAATTGTATTTCTAATACTAGCTGGGGAAACTAAAATTTAAAACACAGTATCATTTATAGTTGCTCCAAAATAATTTAAACACTTAGATGGAGTGATTCCTTCTGCCTTATTTTTCAAAATTGTTATTTTTGTTCTTTGCCTTTCCATATAAATTTTAGAATACATTGTTCTGCATCTATAAAAATCTGGGAGAGATTTTGATAAGCGTTGCTTTAAACTTATAGACTTGGTATCTTTACTATGTTGAGTCTTTTGATCCAAACGGATCTCCATTTATCTCACCATTTATTTCAATCTTTCTTTCCTCAGTGTTTTGCTTTTTTCAGCATACAGATCCTATATGTAATTTGTTAGATTTATACCTAAGATTGAGACTTATATATAGCTACAGTAACAAGACAGCGTGGTACTGGCATAAAAACAGACATACAGATAAATGGGATAAAATGGAAAACCCAGAAATAGACCCACACAAATATGCTCAAATGATTTTTGACAAAGGTGTAAAGGCAATCTAATGGAGGAAGGGCTGTCTTTTCAACAAATGGTGCTGGAGCAACTGAACATTCATTTATAAGGCAAATATATGAACCTTGACCTAAACCTCATATCTAATACAAAAATTAATTCACAATGGATCATGGATTTAAATGTAAAAGGATGAGGTAAAATTATAGGAGAAAAGCTATGGGACCTATGGCAGAGTTCTTATACCAAAAGCATGATCTGTAAAAGAAAAAAACTGATAAACTGGACTTCAATAAAAAGGGAGGGGAATTGAATTCTGAGGATTAAGAAAGAAAAGAATTCTCAAGATTTCTTGATACCTCAACAAAAGCAGATACCCACAGAAGAAAAAAATTCATAATGGCACTGATCTCCCATCAACAAAATTATATGATAGAACACAACTGGAGTACGCTTGCAGAGAACTAAGGAAAAAGGACTGGGCCTCTAAAATTCTAAACCTATGTGTGAGGAAAATAAAAACGATCTCTTGAATATGTAATGGCTCAGAAAATGCAACATTTTCTCTGAAAAAATTACTTTTAAAGGTTCTAGACACATGAAAAATAACAAAATAACAACAATCAGACTAAATTTACATGAAATAAAGATAAAAGATGACAAAGAATTGTCTAAATAATCATTGACAAAATGATCGTGAACTTGAGTAAAATAAGAAATTATTTCTTAAATAGAAGCTATGTATTTTTAAAAACTGATGTATTATTTAAATAAAACCTGGGGGATGAGATCTTGCCATTTGCAATGACGTGGATGGAACTGGAGGGTGTTATGCTGAGCAAAATAAGTCAATCAGAGAAAGACATGTATCACATGACCTCACTGATATGAGGAATTCTTAATCTCAGGAAACAAACTGAGGGTTGCTGGAGTGGGGGGGGGAGGGATGGGGTGGCTGGGTGATAGACTTTGGGGAGGGTATGTGCTATGGTGAGCACTGTGAATTGTGCAAGACTGTTGAATCACAGATCTGTACCTCTGAAACAAATAATGCAACATATGTTAAGAAAAAAAAAAGAAGATAGCAGGAGGGGAAGAATGAAGGGCGAATCAGAGGGGGAGACGAACCATGAGAGACGATGGACTCTGAAAAACAAACTGAGGGTTCTAGAGGGGAGGGGGGTGGGGGGATGGGTTAGCCTGGTGATGGGTATTAAAGAGGGCATGTTCTGCATGGAGCACTGGGTGTTATAAGCAAACAATGAATTATGGAACACTACATCAAAAACTAATGATGTAATGTATGGTGATTAACAATAAAAAATTTAAAAAAATAAATGAACTCTGGGAGGGGCATGGTAAAGGTGAGGTTATATATGCTATTCATTCTTGTTAGAGAAATATATTTGCTAAATGATAATAACTGCCAGCAAAAAATTAGGATATAGAACTTTCACGTTATTAAAAGGAAAAGAAAGCAAAAGGGAAAAGAAACGCATCTAAAATATTTCAGCGATGTACTATGGTTGAACATCAAGTGGTGTGATCAGAAGACTTTCGTTTTCACTATAGAATGTAAATATTTTTACAGTAATTATATCAGTTTTAAAAAGTATCATTAAAAGCCATCAAGTAAGCAAAACAAATATGAATTTAAAAAATATACATCAACTCTTACTTACTTAGTTTCTCCATCTGATATACCAACAACTCTAGCTTCTTCAAGATGAGGCCAATTAACAAAGACAGACTTTCCAAGCACTGATGAAGCTATATTTTCTACGCTCTTAAAGTAAAAGCAGAAAAGTTCACTCATGTTTCAGGTCCAAGAGAAAAGTTTACAAAGGCAAAATTAAAGAATTAAAAGCTGGCTGTGTTTATAAAAGTCTTTAAAATCAATAAAAACCTCAACTTAATAATTAAAACATATAAAATACCATTTGCTCACTCAAGCCATTTATTCCCTACAGTTCCTGCTCTTCTCAACTTTACTCTCCAACTAATTATTCCACCCACTTGAATTCAGTTAGTTTTCTTAATTTGCCTTCTCTAAGTTGTACCTTTATTGCTAACTACTCTATTTCTTTCTAGCACGTTTCCCAAGATTTCTGTTTATAGAGTTTTATTTTTTTTCCTTTCCCTTATTTTTTTATTAACATATAATGTATTATTTGTTTCAGGGTACAGGTCTGTGATTCATCAGTTTTATACAATTCAGAGTGCTCACCATAGCACATACCCTCCCCAGTGTCCATCACCCAGCCACC